CAGAAATCAGAGGTGAGCCGAGACCCGGATCTGGTACGCTGTCGAGAGAAGAGGGCCCGCGCGCTCCAGCGGCTCAAACAGCAAGGCCACCGCAATCGGGCCGAGGCAGAAGGAACAGACATAGCGGCTGAGTACGACCGCTGCAAGAAGAAGGCTCACAGCCTATCCCAGAAATTGAAGATCCGGAGGCTTCGGCGAGCCATCAGGGAATTTCACAGTTCCGTGCATGTCGAGGAGATCGAAAGGCAGCTGAAAGGCATCAAGCCGCCAGACGTGATCGTGCCACCTACTATTCAATATGACCTTCCTGAGAGGGCCCGCCTGGCGCGGCTTCTCGCACGCGCCGCGGATTCCAAGAACATGGACGAATTGCAGGACATTCGGACAGAACTTGTGAGCACAATTGCTCAGCTCTGCACACGGAGGGAGAGTCTTTGTCGGGACCATGCGCAGCGGGGTCGCAAAGCAGAGGCGCCTTTGCCGGATCCAGATCCTCCTCGGAATCTTGGCCCACAACCCATACCACCAAAACAAAGCACTTTTGCATGCTGTCCCTTCTGCCGATGGGCCGATGACAGCGTGGGTAGCTACCAACGGACGAAGCTTTGGCGCATCGACAGCTTGGCGAGACATTTGCGCCTGCAGCATCTGAGACTGCGGCGCATGCCGTTAAAGTGTCCATTTGGTGGCTGCTCGGAGTCCTACACAACCTGGACCAGTTTCGCAACCACGCAGCACACCGGCATGAATTACATCTCCCGCCATCTGTACTGTCCAAGTAGATCAAAATCATACTTGTTCGGTCTCGCAGGTGTGTCTGTCGCATGACGACCGCCATGCTCGACCACGCAATCATGGGAATGGGAACTTGAAAGCATGGCTCCAGATTGCAGCACTGAAAGGCACCGTTCCAACGTATGAAACGAGGCTTGGGAAGGCTTGTCATCGAGGGGTCCGCGTGTCGGAAACCTATACGTTATGTGGTACACCCGAGTACCTGGCTCCAGAGGTCATCCTTAATAAAGGACACACCACAGCCGTGGACTGGTGGGCTTTGGGGATCCTGATATACGAGTTCCTGACCGGCTATCCTCCGTTTTGGCATCAGAACCCTGCGGAGATATATAATCAGCATGTGGCCCCCTAGAACGCTTAACATTTAATCCCCCATTTACTAACCCCCCTGTTGATCGCAGAATTGTCCAAAAGCCAGTCAACTTCCCACAAGAGCCGGCAATCTCGCCCGAGGCGCAGGACATCATCCGGTCTCTCTGCAACGCGGATAGGTCCCACAGGCTGGGCAACGTGAGCGGCGGTGTAAAGACGCTTAAGGATCACCCCTTTTTCCGGGGCGTGAACTGGGATGACGTCTTCAACCGGCGACACAAGGGCCCCATCATTCCACCCATCAGGTCCCCCGGTGATGCGCAGTGCTTCGATGTGTACCCGGAAGAGGACGCTGCCCGTGATGAGTATACCGACGACTTGAGGCAGAAGTATGACGGGTACTTCCAGGATTTCTAAAGGATGTCTGCCGGAATCGGGGAGTTGTGAGGGTTCACGCAACGTTCTCGCACATGACAGCAATACAATCGTACTGTGCATTGATAGTCACACCCTCGCTGGTTTACTTTGGCGCGTTGCTGCCCGCCCCGGCAACGGAGTTCAATCCTGGGTGGAAGAGGTGGCGGATCTGCAACTCTCAAGCTACCTGCAAGGATAGATTGTATCTTTTATACGTCGCACAATCGATTTCAGCCAGGATTTGGTTTCCTAAAATGTGAGGATTGCAACCGAAATTCTGAAGCATGCGCTCTCTTGTTTGATATTGTACTCTTTGGGCAATCGTCCATCATTCAAAGACAGCTGGAAGGCGAGACAATAGATTGGGGCTTTCAGCACCCCAACCAGCCAAGGAGAAAGCAGGTCCAAGGAAGATCGGCTGTGGCCCATGAAAGGCTGGAGATCAAATGCGACATCGAGGCCTATCTGAAGTATCATACGTTACCTCAGACTGCACAAAGACTGGTTCTATTGACTAATAGATATTGATCCTTCTACATGAGTTATTTTAAGGCACACTGCTGCACATGGAATGTTGCTATTCCTGGAATCGAGAAATTGGTTTAATATAAACCGGCCGGGTGTCAAAAACCTACTTAATGGGATGTTACGAAGCCATGTCTGCCTCCTGTTGTAACACAGGCCACCGTTCGGTCCACTTCACAGACATGCGGCAGTCTAGGGTCCACAAGAGGATCAAGCCATCGTTCAGTCAGTCAATGACTTCCCAGCCCCTCGGGGTTGATGACGCCAACAGAGGTGGCGAAGTAATCGTTCCGGAAGAAGAGGTTGGCCTCGACCAAACGATGCCGGCTGACCTCAGACAACTTTAGAACATTAAGCAGAAATGGCTCAGCGTGAAGGGCCAGGGCATTGGGGGTACATCGTCAGGGACTTCCTAGGGCCTGACGAGGCCAACGCCCTCAGCCAGGACAGGAAGGCAAAACTCAAGGCGAAGTTGCAGATGAAAATCCACAGGGGCGTCTTGAAATGCGGCATCTAGCCAGCGAGCAACATAAATATACAACCATCGCAGACCACCATAAAACACTATCTACCAGTGCGTAGGACTTTTAGGATATTAACCAGCTGTGCTCTTGAACAGAACGCCGCACTACTAAGGCCTATGGGAGGTGGGAGGAAAGTCGGCACAACGAAAGCTTAGGTTTGTTGGTGGAAGAGCTTGAGGATGACGGCCACTCCCCGGCATACGAGAGGAAGAGCATAAAGGTCGAGGCTGAGCTTGTCAGGTTAGGCGCGGGACAGAAGCGGCGTAAGCCATCCCAGGCTCGCAGGATGCGTGTCCGCGTCTCAGCGCGTCACCACGCCGTCGAGGCCACGCACAACAACTCGTCTTCTGTCTACCGCCCCACACCACATCACCACCAGGGGCGCGTTCCAGCTGTAAATGACCAGCCGCCTGGGCTCTTCCAGTATGCCGACCAAGAATACGGGCGGCAGCAGCAGCACCACCTGCACGTCAAGACAAGTATGGAAAATGGTTATGATTCTTCCAAAACATTGACGTAAGCGCAAAACCTTGAGCAGGCTCTCCGCATTGTCTGCTATTTACAGTATTCTATCGTGATCTCAGAATGACAAAAATGACCCTCCGCACTCTCACGCTTACTTTTCACTTGATCTATGCACCATTTGAGGCAGGCGTCTGAATGGCACCCCGGTGTGGTCTCGGACGTACCACTTCGTCCTCATAAACCACTTGAATTATCCAAAATGCTCCTCTATCGGCTGAAGGTCTGTTGAGTACAGCGGGAGAAAGAGACGCTGCACGCCCGCAGCAGAACACATCTCCTTGACTTTTCAATCCCTGTGAAAGATCGCATTGTTCAACACCAGGATGGACCCAGCTGGGGAAACTTCCCGCAATGACGAAGGAGCTGCTGAATGGAGTCCTCAAATATAGCATGATCAGCCGAACACCAAAGGTGCGCGCCGCTCGGCCCGCACTAAAGGTCGAGAACGACCAGACTCGTCGGCAACAGAAATTACAGTCAGTAGTCCTGTCTCTACAAGCACGATTCGGGGTCGGAAGAGACCTCGTGAATCTGTGGATAAGGTGGATACGGCAGCCAAGCGCACTCGGGGGAGAAGTCCGGCCGTGATCGTGAGTGAACCTTTCCTACTCTACCTTCACATCTGTTTTAAATGCCTAATACGCTTCGCAGATCAGACCGTCCACAGGAACATCCACAGGCACGCCTGCGTAATCACCAAGAAAGCCCACATAGAGTTCATGAAGGAGGAGACCTCGCTCCGGAATGGCCCAGCCGGCGGGCTCATGCTATCGCCGCGCGTCTTTGAGGGATACGTTGGTCGCTTTTGGGACGTGTTAGGCACCCGTGACTACATGCGCGCACGCTTCAACTTTGTCGACAGAATTCTAAGCAATTTCCCTCACCATCAAGTCGCAGTGCAGACTGCCCTTGACCACCTTATGGACATGTTGCGACTCAACCGTAGGGACAGTATGGGCCTGCGAGATATGGTGCCCTCGCTGATGCTTCGCCTCGGGCGCAACCAGGATGCTTACGATTTCGTCAAGTGGTGGGCGGTGTTCCCTGGTCGTTATGACTGGAGCGATATGGCGCTGCCTTATCTAGATACGAAGGACGTGGATGTTCTCGAAAATCCTTCGTGGTGGGCGGGCGGATATCTAAACTTCAGTCATGCGGCTGCTGTGATATTGATCAAGTTGCGCTTCCTGTCGAATCTACGTGATTTGCAGAATACGGCACGGGCTTTTCAGGCATCTACTCTACCATGCCAAGTTGTAAACCAAGTGCGTGGGAACTTGTTGGATGACAGTCTTCTGGTGGGGCGTCAGGATCTTGCCGCCGCTGACACGGTGACCCTTGCTGCAATGATCGAGAGGGTAAGGAAGCAAGTCTGGGAATTGTACCTTGCTGTGGAGGAGGCAAACATGCATTTTTGGGGTCGTCTGATTAGTATGCAGGATGATGGCGATGGCTTGCAGAAGCCGGAGTCCTACTTCCGTGGGTCACCGGAGGAGGCGGACTTAATAGCGCTGCGTAACTATGCGGCGTGGGAAGAAACACCCAAGGCGCTTGATGAAATAGACGCTGTCTGGCTTCTACATTTGGACATGGTGGCAGCTGCGCACGAAGACGCTTCCCCCGATGAAGAGGACGATTTTTTTGACGACGAAGAAGGAGGAGTGGTCTATGATTTCTCTTATGATTGAAGCCGGGCCTCATTGTCCGACCAGCTGCTGCAATTTCATGGTATCTGGCCAGCTTATTTGGCCAGAAATCATTAACTCATCACGCGTCATCATACCTTACACGCTTAAACACCAGCAACTTTGGCCTCTTCCCTAAGTATACAAAGTCAGGCCATCAATTTATGCTTGCGTTGACGGGCACTTGAATCACTAAACTCGATGCTCCTAACTGCGCCATTCTTCAACAATGGGTCAAACTATACTTCAAACGCCATCATCCCTCCAATCGCCGCTGATAGGATTCAGGTCAGCTCTTCTACAACTCCGTCTACTATGCCTTGGACGATGTCGACCGTAACTCGAACGGTCGTGTCACTGTTGGTTAACCACGACGCTCACATCTATTTAGCCCAGCGTGCGTAGCATCTTCTGTACTATCCGAGGAGTTGTGCTCGATCTTTTGAATTCCTGGTACATGAGACTTGCTATCTTTGGGCTTGCTGGCGTTCCTGCCAGCCTGCGTTGCTCAGGCACCTGAGTCTATGTGCGGAATTGCTTTTATTGTACTCTAGATTCAATGTAAAAGGAGCAGCCTATATAATTTAAAGCTAGTTAACATCCAAGGGCTGAATAATATATCCTTAAGCTATCTCTGTAGAGTGGGCTATGTAAATTTATAGTGATTTCATCATACCATGAAAAGATTTCATGGTATAAGGTAAGGACTGGGGCTTTGGATGAAAGCAGTCTACGTATTATCTCTTTATTTCGATTAAATTTCTTGTAGTTGAATCCTAGTTTTGACAAATTGTGAATCGTGTAACTTAAAGCACCCGAATCTGCGGTCGAGGGCGGGGTAGTATAACACAAAGGGCACTGTTCGTCCATCCTCTCCAGCCGGCTTGACCTGAGCTTTGGGAGCAACCCCAGGGCGAGACCATGAGATCACATGGTCACAAGGTGTTTCTCTATAGCCTACTGACCAGCTATCCGATGGCGGCGCTATGGTACGAGCCTGACCTTGATGGAAGGGGCAGTACGGTCACCTTTCTGGTCCTGCACAGTGGCCCTCTCAGATCGCTGTGCTCCAGAAAGGGCGAGAGGCTGCTGATGGACGGCCTATACGGACAAGATCTGAATCTGGACTCATTCAAAAGCGTGATGCTCGTGGCACGTGGTGCTGGGATCGTGGGTGTTCTCTCTATCGCCCGGACCCTCTGGGAATGTCGACACGATAACGTGCTCCGCAGGGTGAACATCTTCTGGAGTTTGGATAGGAACTCGCAAGGCGAGTGGGCGTCTGAATATATGAAGGCTTTGCAAGAGCTAGACGCCGGTAATGTGAGCACACTGTTTTCCCTAGCTATGGTCACCGTGCTGATATCTGAAGGAACTTTTTGTGGTGTGGTGCGTGTACCCACCCACCCAGAAGGGGACGCCGGTATTTAGGGAAATAAGCCATTGGATATGTTTTGAGGAGGATGACCACTACCCTTTGCTGGAATGTATGATCGATGCTACTTCGGGGAAGAGTATGGTGGTAGGCAGGTCTCCCCCTCCTGGGAGCTGGCCCCGGCTGACAATCATTATAGCCTGCGGCGAACCCGAGTTCTCCGCCCACGTCCGCAACGCTGGTATCGATCGTAGGGCGGACCGGCCTATTGATATTGCCGTCTCTTCCGAATAGCCCGCCCACTCAATAAGATACAGCCGCCTCGCATACAACTTACAAGTTCCTTCATAGCGTCAACAAGGAACTGGCCACCCTGGTTACATCAAATGAGCTTCGACTTGCACAAAATCCCACAGCGCAGCTACACCACCCTCGTCTCCAGACCCTTCGATTTCAACAACATGGTGGGTCTTCATGTCGGCGGCCATGCACATCTGAGACCACCAATCGATCGACAAAAGCAGATATCCTCCATCTGGATGCCTTCTTACGTTGAAAGCCTCCCACGCCTTATGTTCTATAGTCGAGGCTCTGAAGCCTCCTTGATTATCACGTCCAAGGTAGACGCCCGAACTTGTTTCACGAAAACCAAGCCATTTGCCCGTCTTCTCCGTGCAGGCCCAATGCCAACCGCAGACCGCCAGATCTGCAATCCTCTTCAGCACCAAACGGCCATGCTCTCGCGCCAGAACCCTATCTGACGCCCGATTTCTGATCATGAACGTCCGGCCGGGCCAAGGGACACTTTCTATGCCTTGCTCCACCGAGAACTGGCCTTCAAGCCCCGGACCAGGTACGGTATCAGTCGTATGTGTAGGCGTACCGAGAGGGGTATGGTCATGGCTTTGTTGGGACTCGGTGTCGCGCTCGATCATTGCCGTGGACGTAACTCGTGTCATCGAGCTGAGAAAGTTTCCAAGTTTCAAATAAAACTGCGCACTAGATGAGTACCTACGCGTACGTCGTATAAGTGGGGTTGATGAGGAACGCGCGAAACGAGGATCTCGCGAAAGTTTGAAGGTGAGGGGCCGGTGTCTGACGGAAGGAAACCCACTCAGGAGTGGAGATCGTCTTAGGCAGCCAGCGGGGCCCATAAGCCCCGCTAAGGGAATTGAAGCCTCAGGCATCTAGGCTCGATAAACTATATATGGCGCGAGTCTAGCATTTGTATTCAGGGAAGATCCTGGGACCTCAAGGATCCTTTAGACCCCTTAGAGATTATCGTTGAAATACCACAAGCCCTACACACACACTAGCCCTTGTAACAGCCGGGGAGAAAGTGCGGGGCTTCTGGCTGGAACTGTTGCTCCACTCAATCCAGAGCTGTACTGTATGTATATAGCCTCTACCTGATACGGCGCACTGCGTCAGCCACAACCAGCCGTGGAACTAGCCCGTGCTGAGAATATTTCAACACTGACATCTGGACACTGATTTCGGTCTCTACAGTATGTAATGGATAGTGAGTCGTTTAAAGACTTAAATACCCAGCTGCTGCATCATTATGGCAGCTACTTGGAGCCAAATAATGCATTATAGCACTGATTGAACAAGAATGTGTAAAATCCATTTTCGGCATAACATAACCAATAACCACTCCTAATAACAAATTTTTAGAAACAATTGGATAAAATTTATTCATCCACTTTTCCTCTTGGACTAAAATGAATAAAAGGAAATTGAAGAAAAATCAGCTGTGCTGGTAAGACTGCAGGCATTGCCTATACATTCCCTTCCCCTTTTAAGTTCAATTGAATGTTTCCATGATTTCCCTTTTCCAGGTGTCCAATGAGGGCTTCGCGTTCGTATCAATCTTGCCTTGCGTGGCGTGGTTCCACGTCCGCTCATCAACACCTTGTATCTCTTATTATGCCGGACCTTTGTCCAGTTAAGGTGTAGGGAGATGGTATCCAGGCGGGCAGACTGCCACAAGGCCAGAGCTGGAGTCCGGGTTGTGACCTTGTGGGGCCAGGTCGGCTGGATATCATGTGCTCTCTGACGCGAGGCGGCTGATGATGTTGACTCTCCGCCAAATGTCTCCCCGTCTCCAATCGAATCGAAATTGTCCTCCCTGAAGACAGACCTGTCTCGGGTTGGCTACGAGCTGCTTGAATCTGGCTGGCCTCCTTCCGAACCGTGATTTCGGACATGCTCAAAGTCATGATCGGAGCGCGGGGTGTTTGGGTTCGTTGTGGTCCCGGAGCAGATGGGAACCGTCGCCAAGCTCGCCAAGCAGTCAGCCATAATGATAACGTCAGATCTATGAACCTTGTGGTGTCAGTACAGGATGACCACTGCGAGGAAGAGAAAATGCCCCTGAGCAATAGCTCAGAATCCCGCCCGCCCAGGCTTTTTACCGCAGACAGAGCAGCCTTGACTCTCAAATCTTCGGAGAAGTGAGAGGGGGGGGGGCGCACGGGAGTGAAAGTGATGGTAACAACGGTCGTGAGGGTTGGATGGTGATGATCGATGGTGCCAGCCGCGCGTGAAGGGGTCGAGGGGAAGCAAAGGCACTGGACTCATGTAACGATGATCACTCAACCGACTCTCATCTTCCAAGTTCGATAATTCTTATTATTGCGATGGTGGTGGTAATGGACAGGGTTGTAGTCGGAAATAAAGGAGAGTGAGAAGCTCGGCCTTTCTGAGGAGTTGGGTGGCTGGCAAATGCGCGGATCTGATTGGTAGTTACTGTGCCCCCCCCCCACCAAAACATGATGCACCTTCAGGGGATAAACGTTGGTCGATATTCCGTTTCGTGAGCGTTTCTGGGCCCACCCGTCGCTATGCCCAAATCCTGTTTTGAGGCAGCAACCCCTTGCTCGACTTTGTGCCACCTTTTCCATGGATCGACAAGTAAAGTGCGCGACCGACATCAACGCTACAGGTTCCTGCCACGGCCGATAAAAAACGCTGGGTATTGGCCCGTACGACCGTAGCAGCAGCGCAGTTGGCGCACAACGATCGGTCCATCATTCCCCGCGCTCGGGGCAAACTCCGCACAGTCCAGATGATACGATACGCGTCCCGTTCCTGATAGCTTTCCTTGCATCTTAGGGACGTCCATCCGCCATGGCAGATCGACCTCGGTCAAAGATTATCGAAGACAATCCGATCGGGAACGGTCTTGACGCCCTCCACGCTTCGTTCAATTCGGTCTGCGAAAACAGGAGGATCCCGTGCACTCCGGACGCGCTTGGTCAGCTTGACCAAAAAGGTATGGCAATCCAGGTTCACTGTGGTGTGCTCCTCTGACCAGTTTACAGATTTACAAAATCTCACCCTCGATCTTCTCTCCGCCCTGCGAAACATCCCCGCCATCCGTCTCCTACCCTCGAAGACAGGTCGTGGCACCCTTCGAAGCGACCTTCTCCGGCTCGAGCTCTCACTCGACTCCGGCGACTTCGACCTCGACCGTATCAAGCCGCTCCTCAAGTCAGCCATCAGCAATACTCTAGACGATGCACACATTTGGGATGAAGCCTACCGAGTCGTCACCGAATCCACCCCGCCCCCCCAGCCGGTAGCCTCTTCCCTTCAACAAACCCCTTGGCTGCACAAAACGAGCAGCTTCGCAAATTCATTGGAATACCGTCAAGATGTGGACAGGGTCCTCAAGTTGGAACTTGGCCCGCTCTATGTCGGGCTTCCTGAGTTCCGCACAATATACTTTGGACGCGTGGCAGGTCTGGAGACAGCATCCGAGGCCGTCTTCAAAAAGTGCACGGATGGCAGCCCACCCACTCTTCAGTGAAGGGTGGAGCGGATGGCCGAAAGATGCGAATCAAGATGAGGTGTTGAGCTGGTTTGCGGACCTGTGCGAAAAGCTGGCGGCATTCGCAAAAGACTACAGGTCGGACCCGGCCGACCGACGCAGGCCTGTAGCACAGCCGAACAAGCCAATTCATGGTTCCACAGGGGAACGCAAACTTGACGTCGGCTTTGTGGACGACCCCAAGGCTGAAAAAGACTCCCGATGCCACTGGTCGCAAATACTTGTTCCGGGCGAGTTGAAGAGCAATCCATTGGCCGACAAAGCGTCAAAGGCATGGCTTGATCTTGGGACATACGCGAGGGAAGTCCTCGCTGCTCAAGATACTCGTCGCTTCGTCTTGGGCTTTACTCTTTGTGGTTCTCTAATGAGGATATGGGAGTTTGATAGATTAGGGGGTATCGCATCCGAGCATTTCGACGTCAATGAAGATGGACTGCAGTTTGTGTTCACGATCCTCGGGTTTCTCTGGATGAGCGAGGAGGAGCTTGGCTTCGATCCGACAATCATGACGGCGAATGACAAGCGATTCATCGAGATCCAGCGGGATGGTACAACAGAGCGCCTCATCATCGACAAGGTGATGCAACGCGCACGTTGCATAGCTGGCCGGGCTACGACTTGCTGGAAAGCCCATCGCGAAGGACAGCCACAGACACCTCTTGTCATCAAAGACTCGTGGCAGTACCCAGAACGCGATGAGGAAGGCGAATTGTTACGCGAGGCAACTAGTCAAGGCGTTATCAACGTGGCCCGATACTACTACCACGAGACTGTCCAGGTACACAGCACGGATGACGATATTCGAGGCAACGTTCGTGGAGGACTAGATGTCAGCACAGCTACGAACTACCGGCCGGGACGTTCGATGCCGCCCCCAAGTGCAATCGCGTCTGAAGCTTCACGAAGAGCTCGCAGCAGTAGCCGCGCTGCCGGCAAGAAGCGATCATCCAGCCAAATTGGCGCTCATCTGCCTCCCTGTAAGCGATCCTGTTCGTCATCTCCAACGAAGGCTGGTCGCGACGCACCATCGAATCGGGTGCATCGCCGTGTCATTCTCCATGACTATGGAGAGCCAATCTACAAGGCAAGCTCCCGATCGGCTCTCCTCACAGCGTTCGAGGGCTGTATTCAAGGACACGAATCATTGCGCAAGGCTGGTTTCCTACACAGGGACATCTCGATTAATAATCTGATGGTCAACGAGGACGACGACAACCTTTCCTGGCCTGCATTCTTGATTGACCTGGACCTCGCCATCAGAGAGCGGCGAAGTGGCGCCTCTGGGGCAAGAGGCAAGACCGGCACGAGGGCGTTCATGGCTATCGGGGTGCTTCTAGGCGAGCAGCATTCATTCATGCACGATCTCGAGTCATTCTTTTGGGTCCTGTTCTGGATATGCGTCCACTATGACGGGCCAAATAAGCCTAGGGTCATTCCTGAGTTTGACCAATGGAATTACATTAGCATGGAATTGTTAGCAAAGGAGAAGAAGGGACAAGTATCTGATGAAGGGGACTTTATCAGATCCGCAGAAGAGAATTTTACCTTATACTACCAGCCACTAGTACCCTGGATTAACAGACTACGGAAAGTAGTGTTTCCGAATGGTGGGAGGTGGAAAAGAGAGGACGAAGGATTGTATACTCGAATGATGGAGATCATTGGCGAAGCCCGAAAGGATCCGATGGTGTCCGCGGAGAGGTAGCCTCGCAGTTTAGTGTAATCGGCTGAGAGTGCAGCAGCTCCGTTCCTCCCACTAGCCCAGCAATGCGGTGCACGCGACCAGGATGCCGAACACCCAGCGAGATTGAGGTCGCCGATGGCCAGGTTTCGGGCTCTTCGCGCCTACTCACGGTAAACCGGTCTGGCTGGCTGATCTCACCACAGTTCAGCGTCAGCCAGATCCCAGCTTTCAAAGTGCAGGCTAAACGGGCATCCCAAGTACACCGACATTCTGCAGGTCCCAATGGGTCCTCAAATAGGAAACATTTGAATTGTTTTCATCGCTTTACACCTCTTGTATGTGTGTGCAACAGTCTGAGTTCTACTATACACTCTCCAACCAAGAACCTGACTCTGGATGGAATCAACAACCGCTTAGGGCAAGAGCCTCGCTCTGCGGAGGCCATGGTCCACTCGCAAACGGCTATGGCCAGTCCTAGCCGTACAAGAAGGCATTCAAGGAAGAGAGACAGGAGCGGTGAAAATTTCATGAAAAGATGGCGCACCCTTGTCAAAACTTTAACAAAGCTTCACTACGACTACGGAACCGAACTCCACGCTGACTGCCTCATAGTGTAGCTTAGCAGCGTCTGTGAGCGCTTTGTCAGGGGCGGCAATGTGGTGGCTCTCTGCCAACGGCGGCGCAACCAAAATGATGTCGAGATGCGTCTTGCAAATCACATCCAATATCGCAACGGGGACGTGGCGCGCCGCGAGCGAGGCGTGGACATTCTTCGGGAGGAGGAGGCCCGACTGAAGCGGCCGGCCGATGGCGGCAGTATCTTGCATCTTTGTCTCGGAGAAGTTGAGGTACTGGGCTGTTTGGTGCAGCTGGTCCTCGTTGATGAAAGGCATGGGTCGCTGCTGATGGTCGTGCATGACGACGAGCTGCTTTAGCGCGCGCGTGAGCCCTACGAAGATGCTGTTAGGACACCGATCATCTGGCAGGTCACTGCCCAAGAACTTGAAGTAGCCAGCGTCGGCGCCATAGACAATGACAAGTTCGCGCTCATTGCCCTTGAATTGGTGGAACGTCGACACACAGATCTTGCCAGCGATGACGTGCTCGTCAAGCGAGACCTCATCCGATATGGACACGGCGACGGGCAGGCCGTAGAAGCCCGACAGTTGGTTGGTCAGCATGGAAAGCGGCACGTTGGCGCGGATCGAGGGTGCGAGGATGGCGGTGCACGCGGGCCCGTACTGCCGGATCAAGGGGACGAGCTGCCGCGTGATGGTCTTGATATCAAAGATGTCGCCATGCATGTACAGCGGCTTTGGTCCATGGTGCGTGCCCGTGATGTATTTATCGCCGCCTAGGAAGACTTTGTTGGCGAAGGCCGATGTTTCGTGGCTGAGGCGGAAGCTCTGGCTCAGCGGCAGTTGCGTCCAGGGTTATGGCGAGAGTGTGGCGAGGATGGAGGGCGCAAGGCTGAGGAAGCGGCCGTCGGCGCCCTTGAAGTCATAGATGGCCTGCCTCTCGTCGCCCAGCGCAACTATACGGGGCATCCTGCCCCATGCGGCACGAGTCACGGACGAGATAAATGTGCAAGCCAACCAGAACAGATTGTCGGTGCAATCCTGCAGCTCGTCCAGGATGATGATCTCATAGGGCTCGCCGGTCCAGACGGGTGGGGCGGCTTGCTTCCTGAAAGCGAGCAGGGCCGAGTCGTTGTGCACGACGGTGGAGAAGAGGCGTCCGGCCATGCCGTGGAAGGTGTAGACGTCGCAGGCCGGGTGGTCCCCTAGGCGACGAGTTGTCTCGAGCTGTAGGCGCTTGGAGTAGGTGATGACGGCTATGGGCCGGTTCGGGTTGGCGGCGACGATCAGCTCGGCTGTGGCGGTCTTACCTGCGCCGGGGCGTGCCGATACGACGACATTTTGGATTCGAGACAGTCTTACAATCGCCTGCTGCTCTGCTGAAGGGACGCGTGGGCTGCGTGCAGGTGCAGGTGCAGTTGCAGGTGCAGGTGGCCTTCCACCATGATCATAGCTCAGTTCTTTTGCTATCGAACACAGGATGCAAGTGGAGTAGACACGTCCTTGCGACAGACGACGATTCAAACAGATACCGAGACCTTCAGATATTGCTGCAATATCATTGGTTACCGGCTGTCCGTCACGCTAGAAAAGTCCAGTCCAGCACAGTTGCACGCCGTTCTGCACTGCCAATTGGCTGGTTTTCGTGGCCCGCATCGCATGTTGTTCATGTGAGCACCTCTGCGCTCTGGGCGTACTGTAGGCTATCTCTGTGTTACTGCTGTAGTGCTAAGATGTTCATGCTGTCATTACGCAGCTTGACTGTACATGGAGTTCGTGCATGCGCACTTGACGACCTCGCACTACTCTGCATTGGAGATAAACTACAGACTTACCTGCATTATCAATACGCCAAGTCCATTTCGTCGCTAAGAGCTGTGTCAAGGCAGCGAGCGCATCTTGAGCCTCACATCTTGATTTTCCTAATGCTGTTGCACGTTTTGGTCTGATAATGCAGTTTTTCGTAACGTACCGAACAAACCTGCCCAAAGCTTGGGGGTTCCACTTCCCGGTTTGCCGTTTCTTGGACCCAACAACGATAGGATGGCCTCATATATGTCTACCTGTTGGCCATGCAGAGTGTTGAAACTCGACTATCCCATACTGGGCGTTTCCTTTTCGGTGTAGCCGAGGATCTGCAGTCCACGCTCGCCATCACCAACAACACAACTGACCACAAGGTCTAGACCAGTCGTCCGTCAGGATCTATTTTAGAAGTCCTGCTCCTATCTTGCAACTTTGTCGATGGTGCCATCGCTGCGGCTCATTTCCTCAGCTTGGACTAGTCATTGCAACTCTGCTATGTTGACAAGGGAATGTTTCCATCATCAATCCAATCTATCACTTGCTTGGGAAGTACAGTACAGTAGTGCAGTGATCGTATCACAGAATTTGGGTTTCGAACCGCGGCTGCTGCGGGTGTGACAATTGCAACGTAAAACTTTGCGGCTCAGATACCTTCCGGTGAGCAAGCCAAATACTTCACAACGAGCTGACCTTCTCTCGTTGTCACGAGCCGATGATTGAATTACGACGACTTCAATACTTTAGAGAATCGGCTGGAGCTTTTCGCGTTCTCGTGTCTCCGTGGGTAATTCCGTCATGCATTGCGAGAAATTCACCGAGGTGCACCAAAATGGTGTTCTTACCCTTCTCTTCGACTGCGGCGCGAGAATCGCTTTCCAGGTCTGCGGTTCAGAGCTGCCGTCAGCCTGGAAATGGGACGTGAGCGATCCTATATCGCCTGCTTCCTACCAACTCTGCGGCAACAGCCCACCACCTTGTCCTCACAAAAAATACTTCTTTGAGCGCTTTCCGAAATGGTGCATCAAACACGAGGGAAGTCCTGACAGACCACGTTGGCTCCTGATGAAAACGCTCTTGAACCGAACTGATTTCTGTTCACCTATGCGCCGTTTCGCAATAGAAATAAAACAACCAGAAGGTGGCTCTAGCGATGTGGAAACGAGCTCCCCATCAACGAGCGCAACCAATAATTCCACGCCAGGGCGCAGTGCGCCAGGCGACGACAGCCAGTCTCTGGTACCGTCTTATGACGAGTTCGCACTACAATCGCTCCCACCACTGAGCAACAGCTACTCTCACGTAGCGGGACTCGACAATTCGATGTTTTCTTCCTATATCATACCGTCATCAAGTCAACCGACGAGAGCATTGCCGGGGGGTCAACTCACACCCGAGACATTGGACTCTGCCTGGCAGCGGCCATTGAGGCCCAATGTAGGGTACGACGATTCCACTCAATACACCAACTATGATCCGTTCGTAGCAAGTCTGGGCCCAAGCGCATTCACTTTCCAAACTGCAGAACAGCAGACGACGCCTGCCTCGGATCATATGGCCAATAAAGAGGCGCAAGATGGAGCAGTGCTCCCTGCGCAACACAAAAATGTTACAAAACAGCGCATAAGGCAGCGCACAAGGGGACTCCGCAGAGTGCTAGAAAAGGCAACTGAATCTGGAGCCAGCAAGGCGACAAAACCTGCAAGTATTCCCGACACGATTCGATATACTCGCTGACCAGCATCTCACCAGACACGTCCACGACCCCTAAAGCCTCGATTGAATGCTGAAGCAGTTTGAAAGTCCCAGAAGAATAGATCCCTTAAGCTCGCAGCAGTAAGAAGTCGTACTGGGTTATCCTTCCCTTTCCTTGTATGCTATCAGAGAAAATCACGGCGGCGAAATTGCACGCTTTTCAAAGTTGCAGATTGTTATGAGTTTTTGTTTCGGCTTGCATTTCCGTCATTTGATTAATATGCTTCGTTCTGCGGCTGGGTCTCGATTTCTTTCTCCGCAATCATTATTGAACCATCGATCTTCGCGCAAATTTGGTTGCACAGCATGCCACACGAATACAGACTATTGAAGGCTGCACGCACGTCTTGCCTTCTCATCCCCTAGTTGGCACTGTCCAATAGGCCCTTGGCCACCATTTTCGTATTCAATGAGCACTTCTTGACAGAGTAGACCCCTGTATTTCCTGAAAATGTGGACAGAAGCGACACTATGGATAAGGATGGAAGAGAAATATGTCAGAGAGCACATCTCTTGTTGCGCATGTTGTGGTCTTCCAAACGAGACTGGAGGTTGAAAGACTGGCTGACCGGGGCGAAAGTCACCATTCACGCCAACACACTGGCTAAAGGCTCAATTTGGCTCAATGTAGATCAAAAGAGAGCCACATATTATATCAGCCATGTGCCCAGTGTTTTTGTCTTGTTCTATATTTAAACTGATTCCACTTGCCAGAGCGACTGTGGTGTTGGCATGCGACCGCCACACCAGTTCTCCACGATATTTGACAGAATTAAAAGCGTCTTCCTGTATCTAGTTCTCGTTCGTTTCAATAACTTCCTGGTCCCAGACGGGCGTGTAGTTCTGGCAGATGTACCCGACCATTGCAGCTCATGAGAGCAACTTTCACATTACTCATTGCCAGTTCTGCTCGGGTTGGTGCGCCTCTTCTTGCGAGGCAACCTCTCCACACTTCCTGTTTCTCCTGCATTTTCATCCTCCTCTCCCCCCTTCGACGTCTTGCGCTTGCGTGTATCACAGTTCCCAACATCGCTTACTGGAAGGCTATTATTGGAAAGCACCGACCCGTTCTGAGAG